CCACTCCCCCCCCCCCCCCCCCCCTCTTGGTCAGTGTAATGGGGCGGATATACCAAAGTGTTACTGTTTTTATGCTGTCACCGTTTGAGGCCTTGACTTTCAAACTACTTAAGACCCTTAAAGGAGCTCAGTCACGTTATTTTGAGTTATTTTGGCCTCGAACAAAGTTTTAAAATTACCTCTAATTACCTTTAAACTGAAGGAAACCTGAAAATAGTAGTTTATTAAGATTAAAAAAAACACCAAAGAGATAACAAAAAACCATAAAGGAGCAAGGATGGTTAACGATGGAGATGATTCGCACGGATTACAAATGACGACCTTGAAAAACTTAGGCTAACCTTTTCAAGATGCGTTAATCGTGATGTAGCTTCTTTAAGACTACAGCGGTAAATTTTGGTGGGTTTAACCCGAAAAGCTTGAAAATCCAAACTATACTAGGGCCCATACAAACTATAACAAGGGAATAGGATTTGATTACTTAGGTGATGTTTATTGATGGTTTCATTACACAGTGGTCCATCCAGTCGAGGCAGCTCAGTCCACAGCAAGACTCCAATGTATGGATCCCAGACCCCCATGTACGGCTCTCAAACTCCTATGCATGGTTCACGGACTCCCATGTATGGTTCCCAGACTCCAACTCATGGCGATGGTAAGACGAAAACAATATGGCTGCTTTTTCTGTGGGTACGTCTTGTAAGATACCATATGATTAAGCTCGGTTCAATTTTTTTTCTCATTAACAGGAAGTCGCACACCTCATTATGGTTCCATGACACCATCCCACGATCCTTCACGCACCCCACTTCACGGAGGAGCCTGGGATCCAACACAGCCAAATACTCCTGCACGCAATGAGGATTATGATTACAACTTTGACACGTCAACCCCCTCCCCTGGGGTAAGTAGTGGCATTCTGTGCTGCAATCAGATTTTGTTATTCATCAGTGAAGACGAATACTTATTGCACAAACAATTAGAACATCTCGTTTTGTTGCACTCAATTCCCGTTCCAGAGAATTGGACTAAACAAGAATTCTCAATCAGTCACACTTGATCGTCGGGATTGGCTCGTGTTCGAGCATCAATTTCTTCTAACAGTACGGTCTTCTCTTCTTTGATGGCCTCGGAGGTGGCTTAGCAGGCTTAGAATTTGTGAGGGCAGTGAGGTCACGGGAGGGCGAGTGGCTGCAAGGTGGCGTATTTGTTCTTCACGTTTGTCTTCGGCTTTACGGCTCCGTTCTGGTTCAAACATGGCAGTCCCGGTGGAAATGAACTGTCGGCAGCCGGATCGATTTGCCGCTGTTGTCTCCCATGTCCTCGGATCAATTCCAGTTTTCTTGAAAGTACCGCAAAAGGAAACCCATTCATTGCTGAAGATTTCTGTTTCAAAGATATTATTTTATAGTCTCTGGTTATTCTAGTCTATGACCTCCAATGATGTTAAGTTATCTTTTCCTCATAATGAAGGTTTATGGAACACCCAATCCAGCCACTCCCGGGGGTTACGGAGGACCGTATACCCCCAACACCCCCGGCGGGGGAATGTACGGCTCGGAGCCTAGCTATTCACCGTATACGCAGTCTCCATCTCCCGCCGGCTTTGGTAATCCCATGACACCTGGAAGCATTGCTCCCGTATCACCAGCGTATAATCCGCTCACACCTGGGGCAGGCATGGAAGAGGCACAAGCTGACTGGGTTACTACTGATATTGAAGTGCGAATCAATGAAAATCATGAGGTAAGCTCGTTAATCTTGTTCTGTTGTCAAGTAACGTTACGGAGGCATCCTACGCTTGTAATGTACCAAGGCATCTTGGATTCAGGTTTATAGCGTTTCAAAGGAAAATGCCATAACAGTGGAACCCCGCCTTAATGCAGTCACCAATGGGCCATGGAAACTTGGCCGTATTAACGTGGTGGCCGTTAAGGGGTAGGGTCATTTTACGACTGGTCTATCTTTAAGTGTCGTCTTGACAGATATGTCACAACTGTTCTTCTAAATAACTGTTCTTTTATAAGCAATCCAATTATTAATGAAGTTGAAACTTCAATCAGTACATACAGTATTCACCATGGAAAGAGCTGGTTTGAGTGGCTGTATTGACGGGGTAAAATTGTAAAGGATTATACAGGTTGGAATTTCAGAATGTGGCCGTTGACCTTATGAACGGGGTCTTAATAAGAAAATGTATGGGCGTTTCACCAGGGCAAGAAAGCCTGGCTGTAACAACGAGGTGAACGTAAGGCGGGGTTTCACTGTAAAATATTTGAACAGTGGCATTACGTTCAATGGCAGTTGCCCTTAAGTTGCTTTCGTTTGTCTTAGAATTAGCTAGTGACGTGATGGTTGAGAAGCGATTTTTTGCGTCTTACCTGTTCTAACTGCTTTTCTCACTTCCGTGGTACTTCTCCCGCCTCACTTTTGATCACGTGATTTACGCATTGTTATTTCCAGGACCCACAGTTGATGGACAAAAAGGGCGTGGTCAGAACTGTATCCGGGAACACGTGCACAGTTTATCTTTACGATGAGAAGCGTGACGTCAGCGTCTCTATTAACAACGTAGATCCTGGTGAACCGGTTAAACAGGATAAGGTATGCTGCCACACGTCGTATAATTTATACATTTATAATTTATACCGTAGCGCTTATTGCTGTCCTAAGAACCGCAAAAAAATGCTCCAAACGCGAAACGTTGCTCAAACGTTGCCGAGCACAAGCGGAGCAGGCCTAGACTGCATTACTTGTGATGTTTGTTTGTGTCTTACCGTATCATATCTTGTTTGTATTTTCAGGTGAAAGTGATCTTTGGTGATGACCGTGAGCGTGTAGGGACTCTAATCAATATTGATGACCCAGACGGAATTATTAAGATGGATCAGACTGATCAACTCAAGATTCTACCGCTCAAATTCCTTGCTAAACTTGGTCCGACAAATATTTGAACTCCCGCT